GTTGTAACGAAAGCATAAAATAATCGACAACAATGAAGAAAACATCTCTTGTGATCTTAATTGTGGCAATTATTTTGTTAAGTTTCATTGTCACTGCCGAAAGATATGATCGTCATCATTTTGTCAAATGTGTATCGAACACTTTAATATTAACTGTGCTAGGATTTTTGGGACGCTTTATATGTCGCAATTTAATGCCACTCTTATATGGAATTTCATATATTTTCGTAGGATTACTCTGCCTTACAGTATTCATTTCGGTTTTTAGGGAAACGTTCAACTAGAATTGCTTAGTTCCAGACGCGAAATGAATTCAATATGTGAGTATTTCAAGTTTTTAATTTGTCGAAAGACCCCTTTGAAAGAATTTCCCTCTCATTAAATCCAGTCTGAAAATAACTTTTGATTCGTTTGTAGGTGATTCAACATGGGTGATTCACGGTGAAGACCGGCAATATTTAATTAATATCGTATCGATGAACCATCAATTGAAGTAGATTATCAATCTTTGTTGTTTCGTTATCATTGATAACTTATCAATATATTCAGTTATATTATACCAATAAAATTAATTTTTTGATAAAACTGATCTGTGAGTTTGATTCGTGGTGCAATACATAATGAAAAATTTCATACTGCTGGTTCACATCGACAATTTCACTTTGTGCATCACACAACGAAAAGTACTGTTTACATTTGTTGTTGTTGCCGTCTATGTTAAATCGAATTAAAACAAATTAACAGGAGTAATTCTGTAGTGACAGAAGCATCAGGTTTGAATCACTTTCCTTACATCTGATCTAGCATCTAGTATAACTAACAAAAATCACAGCAGCTGTAACCGTTTTTCTTCACAATAGTAAAGAAAATGGTTCAAATACATTCAATATTACGAAAAATATTAGCTTTAAACTACCACTTCTGTTGATCGCAATTTGTACAAAATAAGCCAAAAAGGTGAAAATCTGATTTGTTGGAAATTAAATCGAATTTTACCCATTTTCTGGGAATGTTTTTTGAAAAATGTCTCCGTCTAATTTAATACACTATTTCAATCATGTTGCTCATCACTATGGTAAATTAAAATATTGAT